GTCGACAGCTACATAGCAAAAAAAAAAGAATTTAGTTTTGTTAGAGAGTTTTCTTCAATATTTTATAAGCATTTAATCTAAAATACTAAAATAAAACGGCTGATCCTGAATTAAGAAGAATGTTATAGTAAAAATATAATTGTTCCACTTTTTAACTGTTTTCCCAGATCTATGTCATAATCATCTTAAACGTAATCCTCTTAAACGTAATCCTCCTCAAACCTAATCCTCCTTAAAAGCAGTAGCACTATAAAACGTTTTAATGGAAAATAAAATAAAAGCTTTCAATGAATGTGTTACTAGATTACTAATGAAGACGGTTGGAAGTAAATTCCAAAACTGTAACACTTAATTTAAAGAAAAGGAAAAATATTAAATTGAAAAAAGGTGACTATCAGTTTTCNCTTTAGGAAAAACGGTAGTTTCACAAAATACTTTATCTTAAAATTTTATTTTTGTATCCTTTAAGAAACGATAAATCCATATTTTTTACAATATTTTTGTGCGATTTTTAAATACAATTTTTTATTTTTCACAAATTATGTCTAAATTTTCACAAAATAGGTACCTTTCAGAAAAACCTAGACAGACCCCTGGAAGTAAATTCTAAAACTGTAACACTTAATTTAAAGAAAAGGAAAAATATTAAATTGAAAAAAGGTGACTATCAGTTTTCTATCGACAAAATTCTTAAAAATATCAGCCTTTCTTTATTTCATAGGAATAAATGATTAAAGAAAGGATTGATTCCTTCATTTATAGGTTAACTCAATTGACATATAATATAAAGTACTGCAATTATGCGTATGACGTATAATATGAAAAATCATTTCATCTCAAAATGGGGGGTAATTTCATTACCTTTCTATAATTTATTTTTTTAATTAGTTTTTAAGCACTTTTTTATTGATCAATTGATGTAAATTTAGGTTTTAAAAAATCAGAATACATAAAAATTTTTATATTTTACAATTTAAATTTTTTTCATTAAATTCATCAAAATTCTCTTTTATATAGCATTTTTGAGTTAAGGGCATATAACTTTTTCTGAAAGAATTATTGTTGCTTAACCAAAATCAAAATATGACCCATTAAAATAACAGAGTAACAAATTTTTGAACTGCCATAGCAGTAAAACTATAAAAGCCAGAAAACTTTATCTACCCCAATAATTTGGGTGTTTGATCAAATGAGCATGTTCTACCACAGTTACAGTTAACTGCTATTAAGAGATTTCTTTAAAATATTACCAAAGCACTTTGCAGAATAAAAATCCAACAAACCTTTCTAAAGTTATAAGGGTGATGGGTGTTTTGTTTTGCTGATTACAATAACAACAAATCTCAATCTTTTCTGTTGAAAAAGAAATAGAAACGTTTTTAACTACAAGCAAATTTAAACAGTAAATTGAATAGTTGCATTTTGATAGTAGTCCAAGGAAGTCCTTTTAATGGTCAGAGCTTTTTCCTTTTCCAAGCTGTTTCAAGAACTGATAGGAAATAAAACATTTTTTCAAAGCCAGCTTTAGTTGATCAACAATATTTTGAATTTTAATCCAAACTTAAGTTCAACTTCAGTTTTCAGCTAAAAAAGACGTGGAATAAAATAAATGTAAGTGAAATAACAATATAAAAAACAGTAAATTTTCTTTAACTTCTGTACTTTAGTTATTGAATGTGCAAAGTTTTAGTGTTTAAAATTGTGGTTATTGGATTCAGACATGAAATTCGATAAAGATTCTTAGAGTAAAAACGTAAATTTAAAATAACACAAATTTGAGCCATTAAATATGGAAGCAAATCTGAGAATTTTTTTTATTATTTCTTGTAAGCTGAACGGCATTATTCAGTTCTGCTAGCATTTATATAGTATCTCAGAATTTCTGCTGTGACAAGACTAAAATAAATGATATTTCTTATATGTATAAGCTAGCCAGATATATTTACAAGGTGGCCACAATCACTCAGAAAAAAGTTTTCTGATTTTTCCAAAGCAGTTTCATAAAAATTTTTTTCTGATTTTTAAAACAAAAACTAATTATATGATGAATTTTTCAAATCTGCATTTTTCAAAAACAGATTCATTACAAAACATTTTTATATGCTATTCAAGTAGATAATAAATGTTTTTCTTTTTTAATTATAGCAAGCATAGACAAACAACATATGAAAAAAGGATTCTGGTAAAGTGCAGCTATTCGTGATATATCAAAGTTGATTATAAAAGTAATTGCAAAGTAAGTGGTAAACACTGTGAAAAACATTTACAAGCAGTTAGCATAATTGTCAATTATAAAATACCGTTTTCTTAATAATGATGACTAATATTTTTGAAAGAGCAATATTAGGTATTGAATACTAAATTATCTTTTTTAAAAATATTTTCAAAAATTGATACAAACTGAAGCAAAATGGAATATAAAAAAAAAACGTTTACTAATTACCTACCAACAATAGGCTGAGATGGCTGGGCCATCTATGGAGAAGCCCTGAAAATAGCTCCATGAGAATAGTTACTTTTAAGAACCCCGAGGGGTCACGCCCCAGAGGCAGACACCCTACTAGATGGCTCAACGACATCAAAAATGATTTGAAAACCCTAAAGATTAGAAATTGGAAGGGAGTTGCCATGAATAGGAGGCTCTGATGTTTGTCAGCTGCTGAGGCAGCCATGGCCTGTAAGGGGCTGTTGCACTGACAAAGAAGAAGAACATTTAGTTATTTATCCTTGACTCTCCTGGTTTTTGGCCACACTGATTCATTTTAATTATGAAATAAATGAATTTAAACTCTGTAACTTTTAATTCATTTAGAGCAACTTTTTCAGAGATGTCTATTTCCAATCTCTCTGATTCTTCAGTACTTTTTATTGATTTTTGTGTTTTTTTCTCCCCTTAATTTTGAAATGAATATAGAAATGAACTGAGAGCTGTTCAATTTCTTTAATTAAGAAAACAAAAAAATAAAAAGAAAACTATGAAAACTGACAGATTAACAAAATCTTAATAAAAATAACTCATTAGCAGAAGAGCCACAAACTCCAAAAGGCATCTGTAGGTAATGGAGGCACTATCCCTCTTCAGAATCAATTAGTCTTAAAATTCTAAAGCTAGAATTTCATATACTAATGGTACTTTTGAACCTAAAATATATTATTATTTGGTAGGTTTAAAAACTTTTGAGACATTTGAAATTAAAAATGAAATGTAATACACAGTTATAACTGCCTTCTACTACAAGGCAAGCATGACGGATACTAAATGTAATCTTTTAATTTTATTAGTAATTCAGTTCATTTTACGTTAATTAAAGTAGTACACTAAACAATGTTTTGTTTATAGTTGTAGAAATTTATAACACTCAAAAGGTTTTGCCTGAAAGCTAAATTAAAAATCTTATGAAATCCAGTAAAAAATTTAAAGAAATTAGAAAGTTAATATAATTACTTAAATAATTCCAGTCATAAAAATAATCTTTTTGGGTTTAAAGTATATGCTAATTAATTAGTGCAGACGATATTTTAAGTTACAAAATCAGACACAAAATGCCCTTTCTCTGAATAAACAAAACCCTTTCTTTATGGATTCAAATTTCTGACCACCAGAATATAGGGGTGTAGCCGCAATTTGGGAAATATGGTTAGTCCATAGTTTGGACTGACCATATTTCCCAAACTGGTCCCTAGTTTGGACCCTTTCATGTTAATTTTACAGTTTGCCTATTTTGTCATATCTTGAGAACTTTTTCAGCGAATTGAAATTTTTTTGCATACAATAATAAAATTCATTTATCAGAATATAGTTCCACGCAAAATTTAACTTTCAGTAAATATCTACTATTTTTTATCATTTTATTTAACAGTAGTTGAAAAACTTTTGAATTGTAAAGTAAACAATTTTTTACAATGGCAAAACACAAAATTTCAGCAAAATTAGCTGAATAGTTGGTGAGAAATCGCGTTCTAAAAATATAACTCTATCAAAATTCAATTTCTCAGGAGCTTTTTAACCTATCTCGGTCAATTTTCGTATTTTTTCACCCAAAATTAAATTCTTTAAAAAATGATGTAAAAAATGTATTCCTCGCAATTCAAAAGTTTTTTGACTTTAATTAAATAAAATAATAAATATTTACTAAAGGTTATTTTGTGCATGGGAATATCTTTGGATAAACAGATTTTATAATTGTGTGCAAAATTTTTTCAATTCGATTAAAAAGTTTTTCAGATATGTTGAAATATGCAAAGAGTAAAATTAACATTAAGTCCAAATCCGTCGAAAAAAAAGTATTTTTATTCAGAGAAAGTAAGTTTTTGTGTCTGATTTCATAACTTAAAATATCGTCGGCAGTAATTAATCATTAAGATTGAGTCCTAGAGTGTGAAGATCTGATCCTAAGATCAAAAGTTATTCAGGGTGGCCATTTTTTATTTTGCCTACTACACATTACTATAAAAATAAATATTTAAGTTGAAATATAAATATATTACACCATCATTCAAATTGCATACAAAATTATTTTAGAATTATATACATTATTATAATGAAGAAATATAACAGTAAAATTTTACTCGTGAAAAATCATTATCACTTATCATTATAATTTATACACTATTTTACATGTTTATTTACAGTTAATTACACATATCATTACAATCATATCTAGATAATTTAAAAGCCATCAATATTAACTTTAGTTAATATGAAATAGGTTGAGTAATTAACTTAAAATGTTCCCAATTTGTATTAACAGGAGAACCTAAAATCTAACAGCAAAAAGAAGGGAGAAAATAATTTGTTTTGTAATTGAAAGAAAAAGAAATGTACATGGAATAGCTTAAATATAAAAATTACATATAAATGAATGCTTTTTACTATAATGAATAAAGCACTTAAACTAAAGCATATAAAATATTGCATTATCAGGTATATATAAATCACAGAAGAGAGCTAAAAGAAAGAAAATAAAATGTTTGTAATTAATTTAAAAACTCAAAACATATTATTATCCAAATGTTTTTATTTGTTTCCACAATAAAAACTTTAAATTTAACTTATCTTGCTACAAAGAAGCAACATGAAATCACATTTTGAATAAGATTCAAAACATCAAAATTATAATAAGCCTAATCTACACACACCAGGGTAGGACTTGAGGCTACATTTAAATTTTTGCAAAACATCATGGTTTCATTTATGGCACTGTTGGGAAACCTGCAAATTGTTTCAATCATCACTGAAGGAAAATTACAGTAATCACGACACATGAAACTTTTATAAGCCAAAAATAGCTTAGTTCTGCCATTATTTTTGGCTAATAAAATTTTTTTCACAGGATGTGCGTGGATTAGGGTTAGTAATAATTTGTTCATTATGCGTATAGTTAATACAACACAATAAGTGACTTATATTTTCAAGCTTTTTACAATTATATACTAAGCATTATTGTTTTGAAATAGTAGATTTATTGCTCAACTTTTTAAAATATATCAATGCATTAAATTTGTAATATAATTTTCAAATTAAGGGGTAGCAGTACAGAAGGTTGTCTAAAAAAATGTCTTTTAACTGAGTTTTAGGATTGTATATTTTATAAAAAGATAACTACAGAGGGCAAATTAAAGGTTTAATCACAGTTGTAATATTAATGGAGAGTTTAAGACAATAGAACAAATTTATGCAATATCTGCTATTTAATAAGATGGATATTAGAATTTCATTACAAATTTAATACTTGAATACTGAATAAGATTTTCATTCTCAACATTAAAAGTTCTACAGATTCATCAAATTTGAGCAAGTGAATGGTACAATTAAAATAAAAATTTTTACCCATGAGAATTTTAAATTCATAGTAAATATAACTTTTAAATAAAAAACATATAATATAAATTATAATATATAAATAAAAATATATTATATAAATTATCAATAACATAATACTGTAGAGAACCGATTATCCGGAACGATCGGGACCATCGCTATTCCGGATAACTGATTTTTCCGGTTTTTGGAATAGCTACAAAAAGCAGTTTTTTTTACTGTCAAACTCAACTAAAAAATATATATACATAATTAGAATAATTTAAAAAAACTCTTACTTCTTTTGACAGTGTAGGGAACTAATGATTATTTCTAAAATGATGGTTAACATCTTTTAAAAAAGAAAGAAGAATATTGAAATCTTCTGAGGAAATTTTTTTTTATAAAAATGGCGGGAAGATGTATTGAATTTCGTTCCGGTTTTCTGATTTCCGGATAAGAGGTACTGTACTGTATTACAATCAAATTCAGTACCTAAGACATTAAATGTAATGGATCATGTGTCATTGTCAACAATAAAAAATAAGATTTTTTTTTAAATCACTAACAATTCATACATTATAATTTCATCAATCAACAGGAGATTTATGCATGTTAACAAAAAGATTTATATTTTTTAAGTTCTACCACATCTTAAAAAAAAGAAAATTCTCATCAGTTCATAAAGCAAATTTATTTTTGTTTAACAAGTAATTTAACATCCTATTGAAGCAGTATTCATTCTCCAACAAGCAGCATGAAGAAACATTAGGAAACACTCATATTTCTATAATGTAATTTAAAATACAGGTGATTAGTAAAAAAAGGCTATCAGGCTATTATTATAAAATTAAAAAGCTATAAAAAGGATATAAAGGAGAATAATATTAAAAAACCCTTGATGTTATAAATTAAGCCTGACATAAATAAATTGTAAACAGAAGGAAATATCAGTGGGGTACGACAAAGCTCTTTAGTAAACGAAATAAAAAGAAAATTGGGATACATTAAAAGAACATTTTTTAATCAAAAGGAAACCATTAAATTAAATAATAAGATGCTTTACAAATAAACACTTCTAAATGCTTTATTAATACATTTTTTACAAACATTTCACCTAAAATTTCCATCAATGTAACCACTCAACTAAAATTTAATTTTAATACTTTATCTGTCAATAATAAAACTCAAATTAGGATAAACACTGGTTGTTTCAAGCAAAATTAACTGGTTTTCTCTTCCCAAGAGAATGTTTGCACAAACTTGCCAAATATCTCAACAATAAAAGGGGTAAAAATGCAAAATATTGATAAAAAAATGAATGATACTAGTAGGGCAAAAACTAAGCTTCACTGATGTTTGATTGAATATAAAGTCAATGGCACTAAAGCTAAAATCAGGTATATTATGTCAAACATTAACATTATATGCTAAATGTAAACTGATCAAATGATGTTATGGAAATCAGGTGTTGTGAAAAACAAAGAATTCTGTTAAAGTATATTATTTAAAAACAGCAGTTTTTATTTTTTCATTAGAAAAAATTCAGTTGAGTGATATTCGTGATGCTATTGGTTGCATCTCTGATGGGGATGAGAATTCAAAGAGAAAAGAAAGTTTTGAATTTGTGTTTGCTATTATCGAAACAATATTGACATATTCATTAAAGAAAATAAATAAGTGCCAAAACTTCATAACATGCCTAGTATGGTATTAGTTTGTTCCCATTGTTGGCGACAGAAGCGCTTTCTGAGGGAGAAAAAGGTGAAATTTCCCCTTCTCCTCCTCATAGCATAATTCAAAGAGAGAAGCAGAACCGATTTCCCCGAATTGCTGGCCGTAGATGTAGTGAGGAGAAAAAGCAAGGGTTGTGGTAATGGTATCTCGTGTTCATTTTGATTGTGTTGTAGAATAGGTGCACGTGTTGTTCTCTGTTGAACTATGGGAATTTTATATTAGATGTTTAGGATAGCTGTATTTTTCTCTTGATGAGACAGAAAACTAAATTTAATTAATCTTGGATTTTTGATGGAAAAAACAGATGAAAACGGAGACGAAATTAGTAGTTGGTGCAAACGATGTGATGATTATTCGGCCTTTTGTGTCATTTGCAACAGATTGTTAAGCGTTGCAAGCATGGGTTTTTACCAATTGAACTCATATGTGAGTGGGGACAAGCATAAGAAGAAGTTGATGAAAAGTAAATTAAATCAACTGACATTCGACGGAAGTTCTTCAATCTTAAAATTACCATGGTAATCGAAAGGAAGAATATGGGTACCATCAAATATAAAAGAGAAAGTGGCAAAATCTGAAATTTTATTAATGATGCATGCAATTAAGTGCAATTACCCATTTTAAAATTTGGGGGACTTAGTAGAGATTTGTGCCAAATCATTTGATGATTCAACAATAGCAAAAAATGTTACGGTCTCAGAAATAAAGCTGAGTACATAACAAAATTTGAACTTGCACCATATTTTAGAAGAAAAAAATGTTCCAATCTATTGGTTAGTCTTTTTTTACTCTACATTTTGACGAAACCACTAGACAATCTCAAATAGCAGCTGGATATTCATATTTCATATTAGTCTGAGAAATTTGAATGACTTATTACATCATATTGTGATTCAGAATTCGTTGGTCATTTAGAAGCTGTAAAGATATTTGATATTGTTATGAATTTCATTGATAGCTATAATTTGAGCAATCATAAATGCTTATTACTATGTTCATTAGATGACACAAGTGTTAATTTATGATTTTTGAAGAAATTCAACTGTCATTTAGATTCTTTGAATCATAATAATTTGATTGATATAAGAGCCTGTCCCTTACATATTATGAATAATGCTATAAAAAAAAGATTAAGTAAATTAGATTGACATGTAGAAGGTTTGATTGCGTTTTTCTTCTTCTTTTTTTTGTCTGCTGCCAGTAGAGGATTTTTATAATATTCAAGTTGATGTTTTATTTGGTAATGAAGCTGACAATAGAATTTTAAAACACATGAGCTATAGATGGCTAACTTTAGCACCTGCTTGTGAGAGATTTATTGAGCAATATCCAGCACTGAAAGAATACTGTTTAGAAAATCTTGTTAAGAGCAATGATGATTAAAAACTAGGTGAAAGATATCGTAATATCCATACATTTTTAAAAGATCTTATGACTTTCATATATTTACACTTTACTAGCTTTTTTGCTTTATGTTTTCTGCCTTATTAACTGTTATTGCAAAAACATACACCTTTAATCCATGTGCTATATTTCAAATAAAATGAACTTGCACGAAATATTATGTATTCTTATTGTGAGAAGTTGCTACATGGAAACTTGCAAGTATTTGAAAAATAAAGTACCCATTTCAAATGTATTTCAAATTCATTAAGAAACTTGCTATGCATTCACCCTGTATTGTATGATAAATTGTTTTTAAAAGTTGCAGTAAGTTGCTTAGTGCAACACTTAATTAAGATACCCAAAACTAACTACATTTATGATGCAATTAATGCAGAATCGAGAATGATGTTTGTGATAAATTTACAAATACTTATGATGATGATGATCAAGATATATGTAAATATTGGAATGATGTCATCAAAGTTAAAGTTGCTGCCAGCACTTGAAAATATCCAAATCTTAGTTTTTTTTTGCCAAATCTTGCTTCACTTTTATCATAATACAGTTCATAATCACTTTTATCATAATCACTTTTAACAGAAATACAGTTCCAGAGCGTGATTTTTCTATTAACAATACAATTATCACAGCAAACAAACCTTCTATTTCAGAAACCAGTATCTGCTCTATAAGGCTTCTTAAAGAACATATTACTGATATAAAACTATAGCAAGGATATTCAATTATCAAAAGATCTTATTGATAGTGTTAAAAAATCACATAGTGCATATGCTGCACATAAACAGGGTTCCCACTAAATTTTCGGAAAAAAAAATTCAAGGACTTTTCAATGACTTAAAATCAAATTATTCAAGGACCCATTCAGTACAGTTAATATACGTACTAAAGTACATGTCAACCAGATTTTATAATTACGTCAAAGCTGAAATTGTATATTTTCAAAGCACAATGCTTAATTGATAAAATAATAATATTAATAATAATTTAATTTATCAGCTACTAATGCAAATGGTTGATAGTTATATTGTTGCTTTAAATCACTTTGAAAAATTCCAATTGACATGGATACTAGCGAGCACATAAAAACTAGCATCAGTGAAACTTTTCATGAAAAATTTTATAAAGTAAATTAGAATTAATAAAAAATGATATTACATTAAACAAGCACACTAAACAATTGATAAAGTTTATGTAATTGTATGGTTATTAAAATATAAATACTTTTTTTAATATGCTAGATCCAAATTTTAGGTAACAGGAAATGTATGTAATTAGATAAAATATCGAAATATATCCTATTAGCACATCTGTTTCAATTTTAATAACACATTATCGATTTTGTTACTTCAGAATATCAGCAATGTATTTTGAACACAATAAAATCTAATGTAGAACAATATTTTACAGATAACTAACTAAGACTTACGAAGCTTTATTTTCTTTAAAATAGATCCATAAAATGCTAAGCATGATTTTCAAAATTTTATGAACATGTGCAATTTTTAAAAATCCCATTTGTGCAAATTTAAATACATTATATGTAAATCAAATTTATACGAAAGGTAAAGTAAGTCTCGAAATTGCGCAAATCACGTATCATAATGTGCTATTTGTAAATTGAAATTGAATTGTGGTGTATGTTTCTTAAATTAGAACAATATGAATAGCAAATGTAACAAAACGCAGGAACTAACAAGACATAGATCACAATGAGAGATAAATCACTTTAATGGGAATTCTGTTGCGTGATTAGCTAGTAATTTTCATGTGAATAGTGATCACTATAAAGGAAACTGTAATTTGGGACTTGAAAGTTTCTTAATTTAGAACAACTTTGTGTGATTCATAAATCATTTTGATGAGATTTGAAAGCGTTAATTCTTAAGTTTCCTTTATACGAATCGCGATGCGTAATTCTTAAATCCTTCTAATACCATATAAACTACTTGATTGAGAATTGTGATGCACGATTCCGAAATTACTCAAATATGTATCACGTTACATGATTTAGAAATTAATTTAATTGAAATTATGATGTGTGATTTATAAAATATCTTAATATGAATCCTGATGAGCAATTTTCAAATCAATTTAAAGCAACGATTGATATATGATTCATTAATCACTTTCATTTGAATCCCAATTCGTAGAACATTTTATACGAATTCCGATCCATTAATCAAGAATCAGTTTAATGCGAATCATGAGGTTTATTCATAATTCATGAAATCTGGAACTAAATTTTATTTATTAGCAGTAAAAACTAAATGCAAAATTCTGATTTTGTATGATAACAAATTAATGATCCTTCTTATAAAAATTAAAAAACAAATAGGATAACAATACTAACCTGTCATAATAATGAAGTTAACACATTGAACACATTTCAAAATCCCTGATTAACCCTGATTAAGAAGAAATAAAACAAATAGCTAACTTGGAAGCTCAAAAGAAGCAAAATTTGAAAGAGGAACAAAGAGAAAATGCCAAAAAAGAAAAAGATGAAGTGGAAGTCAAGTTGGTTGAGCTGACTAAGAATGAAAATTGTTTAGTTTAAGAAGAGAGTTAGGCACATTGTTTGCCAGGAGAAGCAAATGAAAAATGAAAGCAGTCCATATCGAAATGTGATATGAAGGACTTTAAAGTATCTCAAACTATGGTTGACATGGCAAATGAATGCATAATTGCTGTGTCAAAAAAACTGTTCGCTAGGAAATTTTTGAAATAAAAAAAAATGTCATTCCAGTTTCTAATTTCAGTTTTGAAGTAATATATGCAAACCTATCCTATATTAAAAAGAAAAAGCAGTGTTTTAATATTTTTCTTAATATAAAACTAAACTTGGCGTGACTGCTTATAGAAGGTGAAGACCAACTGTTCCCATTTTAGTTTTCTTGATTTTAAGTTCTGGGGTGTAGGAGCAGATGTTTCAGTTGGGAGGTTCAAGTAGCTGAGAATCTATGCATTTTGCACTATGTAAGTATTAGATTTTTAAATTTATTTACTAAATTTGCTTGCCAGAAATCTGTAAATATAATTTTATATATGTATGTAGAAAGTACATTCTGGATGAATTAGATATCCAGTTACGTATAGTTGTGACTTCCTGAAATTTATTTTTTCGACTTCCAGCCCTGCCAATAGAGGAAGGGGAACAAGCTTAAACATGATAATAAAAAAGGCAATAGGAAACAGGTAGGTATTGAGTGGAGTAGGGAGAACACAAAATGTAGAAATGCACAAAATGTAGAAATTGAATCAAAATAGACTTCTAAACATTAGAAAAAATGGGACACTAGAAAGATGATTAACTAAATGATTAGAATTTTTCGAAAGGTAGAATGATTCTTAGAAGTCAAGGTCAGTAGCTGAAAAGCAGTGTTAAATGATTTCAGTAGAATAAAACTCGAACCTATAGTTAGAATTCTCACTATTAAGGGCGATGGAATATCGTTTTATACAAGAGTATGTACTAAGTACAAGGAAACAAAAGATAATTTCTTTTTATTCCTAGTTCTCATTTTCTGTGAGATGACTCCCTATCTTTCTATTACCAGGTTCGATCCAGTGTATGGTGAAGTCAATAGTAGTTTGACACTACTCATATAGTTTACAAAGGTAAATTAATGTAAACCGATTGTTTCCCATGCCGAAATAGGACTGAGATTGTTCATCATATATTTTAGCTATGAAATATTATTGTCTGTCAGCAATGATACATCATTCACGTAGTCAAAAGTATCTGATGAAGCATTTGGGTCAGTCTTAATAACTGAACATATGCAAAGTAACACTACAGGTAAAATGTCTGACCACTGATGTGTGTTATTAGCCATGATGAAAATACTCAATAATTTTGTTTGACTTTTAATGATAGCTAGCATTATGTATTAATTAAGCATATTATTAAGTTCATGAAATAAGTTTGTCTCTAAATTTTGTTCTTGATCTGTAATTATTGTAACAAAAGAACCAAATTGAGATATAGGAGCATTCATAAGAGTTTTACACATACTTACAGCCATCTTATTTTCAGATGGGATAGCATCATACAATCTAATTACATGATCAGTAATGGTCATATAGTATTGATAATTATCTAAGACCAACAAAACCAATGTTTTTTTGCGAATTTAAAAACGATGAGTTTTAATTATAAGAAAAAGGATTTTTCTCTACTTTTCCAACATATATTTCTCTAATTATAAACTGAAGTGAATAAAAATTATTCAACATATTAAAAAATGTTAAAAGAAATAATTTGGCATTAACAAATAAAAAACATTCATGCAATATGAGGGAAGTTTTAATTTTAAGAAAGTAGATTTTAACATTTTCATGAACATCAGTATTTTGGGGCAATATCAAGTATTGAAAAAAAAAATTATTGCAAATTTATTGTCACTTTACACAACTTAAAAATAAAATGCTCACCAGTGACAAACAACATTCAAACAATTTACAATTAATTTAAATATAAGTGAGTTACAATCCCTTTCAAGTAATTAACAATATTATTTAGGGAAGGTAAGGATTGCCTAAATGAAAAGTAAAAATGTGTGATAGCGTCGGAAAAATTAGAGCAACAGCACCCTTTGGAGTAATAAATAAAGGTAACAGAAGTGAACCACAGATTGAATGAAACAGAGTAATACCTTTTAAATATTAATAAAAATAGTAGCATAAAACTGATTCCAGTAGTTATTTTAACATTTATAAAAAAAAAATCGCTTCTCCCCTATTTTTACACTGTATGGTTGTGAATAAACCATACAATGCGTAATATTGGAACTTTTGGAATGCAACTAATATATATTAAGGATTTCTCAAAATTACCTTTTTCACTTTAATGTGAAATAACACTTCTATCCAAGTAAGAAATACAAATTCTGTTCCCGTTATACATCTTAGAAATAAGTGGTTTGCCTGCTATTAGCTTGTATACACTGATGCAGTTCAATGAAGCACATTAAAAAAGCTGCCAAGTTCAAATGTTGCAAAATTAGGTTTACATTTAGTGATTTAAATGGACAAATGAAGTAAAATGCTAATGAATGAATGAGAAATGAATTTTTATTACTTACATATTAATTCTAAACAAAATGAGCTACTCCATTAATCGAAATAACAACAGCAATTGCCTGAGCAAGACTATCAGGAGAGTCCATGATTGAAGTACCTGGAGTAACTACATATGGAGTTTCTGGATACGCTAATGCCTAAAACAAATCATATTTCAGTAAAGAAATAAAAATTTATGAAACAATAAAGAATAAACTGAGACTTAAATATTGGGTTTCCAATTGTGCCAGGACTTTTTGGCCCCACTACACTACTGGCTCTTATAATTAACTTTAAATCTTTGTTTTCCTTTGGCAATAAAACAGGTTTTGCTGTTTTAAGTTTCACTCTTTACAGTCTTAATTTCATAAAATTATTGTATTTTCTCCCTTAAATATTAATTTCTAGCCTCTAAAGAGAATACTTTTTTACAATGATTCTAAAAATATGTATTAAGTGTGATTATTACAGAATACCATACAATCTTAGTATACAGGGTCCCATAAGGTCAAAACTCTATAAATACAAGCTTGAAATATATTCAAAGATGCATTCAATAATGATAATGACAAAATTTGAGCAAAATCGGTTGAATAATTCCTGAGAAATCAAATTTTAAACATGCAACTTTTTAAAATTCGATTTCTCAGGAATTATTTGGCTGACTTTGTTCAAATTTTGTATTTTGGCTTATAAAACTACATTATTTAAAATGATGTAAAAAATTGTATATCTTACACTTAAAATTTCTTTCTATTATTAAATTAAATAATAAAAAATTATAAAACTGATTGAAAAAGTAATAAATAATTATCAAAAATTATCAGAATTTTGTGCAAAAACTTTTTGATTCGCTTAAAAATTTCTTGATATATAGTGAAATACGAAAAAAATAACATTAACATTAAGGGTGGAAACTTCAGACCGCTTCACTGACCAAACTATTGAGACCATTTTTCTGCCAATGAAATTACCCCTTACATTTTGAGAATCAAAAATTCAAATCCGTCATAAAAAATTATGTTTATTCAGATAAAGTACATTTTTGTGTCTGATTTCTTAACTTAAAATAGCATCTGCATTGATTAATTAGCATATTTAAAATCACCTTCTTAAAACATTAAGATTGAATCTTAGTACATCATCAGATCAAAAGTTATTCAGGGAGATTCATTTTTTTTTCGAACCATACATATAACAGTCAATGTGGAATGAGTGTTCCATCTATAATTCTCAAAAGTCTGGAGAATTTACCGACCTTAAAGTTTCATTATTTTGTTTCCCTTCTCTTCATCAGAAGATAGAAATGTAACAAGCATTGGTAGCAATTAAACCAATACCTTGGTTACTCTGCTTAAACTTCTTGACAATGATGACTGATATTGCTGAAAATTTGCTATATATCAGCAGTCACACATTGGAAAGTTCCCCATGCAAGAAATCTGAGACTCATTAATGCCTGCAACCCAAAAAGTAAACAATCAAAATAGATAGAATCTAAAATAAGAGATTTCAACACCAGTATTTATACTAGAATAACAGCCAAGCAATGGCAAATTCTATGCAGTGTCCTGTGAAAAGCTATAAAAAAAGAAGAAAAAGAAATCACATAAGGGAACCAATTTCAAGAGTATAACTAGCAGCACCCCAGGGCAAATCAAAATATATTGGAGACGGAGCTAGTTTGGACATTTTTAATGACTTTGTCAAAAAACTTAAATATAATTTTTAATTCGTGAAGCATTGTTTAATAATAAATTGGACGTTTTGCTGAATTTTGGTTTATATCTGAACTGAAAAAAAAGCTCCTTAATAATTTTTTAAATAAGGTTATTTTGTTAAACTTTAGTCCCACTACATATGATTAGAGTGGACAAACTTGATAACTTGTAAAGTAATCATTTGGCTCAGAAAGGTATAGCTAAAGTCAAAATGAAATTAATAATCTAAGCCTTATTAGAGAATAAATATTAACATATATTAATTAAAATAGTAATTTGTAATAGAGCACTTCAATATACTAAGAAAAACATTTAGAATGCAAATCAAAATATTTGAAAACCATTATTTAATTTATACATCAGCTATATTTGTTATATCAGGTACATTTGTTAATATTTTGATTTTTTTTTCATTTTATCAAAAAAATTGAAATGTCAACTTTAAATTTGTATTGTGATATAGTCCTGGCAGTCACTGACAATGGAAGTTTGGTAACTAATTCTTCTCTTGAGAATCGAGAAGTGTTTTTTCTTCTTTTTTTAGGAAAAATTAGAGATTTCTGATTGGAAGAGCTATATCCATATTTTCTTGGAAGAATTAAACACTATAATCTCCAAACGTACAAGCAACTTCCTTTCTACCAACATAATGCTCAATGCTGTTTTTTAGTTTTTTATTTATCATATTTTTAAAAAAAAGTTGATTAACACAAAGTTGTTAACCCTCATTGTCAAGAAGTTCCAATTTCTTTATATCTCTCAGATATCAGAGTGACTTAAAAAGAAAAACTAAAGTTGCTAAAAAATGAACTCAAAAGGATGTCAGGGCAAGTTTCACCACCACATGTCTACACTAACTTGATATGACTGTATATGCCTATCACTGATTAATTGAAACTATACAGAGAAAAAGTTAAACCATATCATTTATAACATATCACGCTCAGATGAAATTCTGGAAATAAAATATGTCAATAAAAGAGTAAAGAGAAAATTTGAAAGTTACTTATGGACCTTAAAAACTTTTTACAAGTTTCTACTGAAATATGAACAGTGTGATTAAGCAACTGCACATAGAAGTACACAGAAGTGTTGACAATTTATGATATCTAACAGAGAAGATTCAACCTATAAATAGGAAAGTTATCCAATTTATCCACTTTAGCTCGAAGTACACACTAGCCTTCCTCTCCCCTATACAGTGTAAAGTCGCGTATCCGGAATCGGTGGGACTTCCAGAAGTCCGTATAATAGATTTTTCCGTATAATAGACCCCCAAGGTAAACAAAGCATAAAATGATTTAATAAACGATCTGAATCTAAGAAGCAAAAAATAAACATTATTTTTAAGGGGAATAATGTTTTAGTATTAGAATATCTAATCAATCAAACATAATACAGGTATTAGAAAAAAAAATATTATTGCTAAAAATATAGAAAACGAAAAAATTTGACAGTTATGNATATATATATATATATTTATTTCATCTAAAATATATACAGTTGACTCACGTTATAACGATAATGCGTTATAACGACCCAATCTGGTCGTCATATCAAATGGTCGCTATATCAAAATGAGCAAATTTCCTTCGAAAATCGGTCACATAATGGTTTTAAACGTCATAATGCATGCATATACTATTTGTGGTATACATGTTATAAACCAAAAAAAGGGCAAGATACATACATTAATAAAACATAATGACATTCTAACAATTGAGTTACAACTGTTAACAATTAAGAATTTTATTTTAAAGTACAGATTAAAAAAACATAGAATGACAAAAAAAAATCTAGTTTCGAATGAATTAGTTTTTTGATGTACATAATTTGCGGTATATTAAACGAATTTTTTTTTATGTACATAATCTGCAGTATTATAAAGAAGAGTAAACCGAGGAACATAAACGAGGCTTCATTAGACGAAGATATTAATTTTTTGATGTGCATTAATTTGTAGAAGTTACATGTTAACAGGACTTAACGGAAGTGTGCTTGTTCAAGGTCAACCATTCTACCCCAGTTTCCAATAGGAAGTTAGAAAAGAGCTGTGTTCAAATTCAGAGAGGGTCGTTATATTAAGAGTTGACCTTTTTTACGGTCGTTATAGCAAGAGTAAAATAACGTTATCTTTTATGGATGTGAATTGGGACTCCTTCACAGGGTCGTTCTATCATGTTGGTCGTTCTATCACAGGGTCGTTATAACACGAGTTGACTGTATTTGCTTACCCTCTGAAAAGCTGACCGGGACAGGTTTTCGTAGTCTCCATGAATAACAAATGCAATATTCTGTATTATTGTTTCGAAGAAAACCAAAATTTTAACGATCCACTTTCAAACTTCATGTTTCAATTAAAAGACAGAACACTTCCTTAAAATTTATTAGAATGAATGTTAGTTTACCCTCTGAAAAGCTGAACGGCACACACCTTCGTAGACTCCGTGAATAACAAACACAGTTTTCTCTGTTGAATTGAATGAACTATTTTTCGGTAGTTTTCCTCCACAGTTATGAAGAAGTTCAGCCCTCTCTTTGCTCTTGGATGTAAAAAGATAAAACTTAGTATTTGGTGTGGTTGTATCAGTTCCTTTATATTTTGGCGTGAAAACCTCATGTATTGGTGTATGACAATTTTCACTTTCAACCGTTTCAAAACATGGTTGTTCTCCCTGTGCTATTAGTCCAACAAAAGGATCGGAAGCTGAAAAGATAAATAAGAAAGGGAAAAAATGTCATTTTTATTGCCAACGTGTTAATCCTCGAGTCGAGGGAAAAAAAATTAATATTTTAGGGCTCTTTCATGAAAATTAAAATGGTATTCATGTTTTTAAATTTACGTGAGTGCTCATTACTTTCTATTCTGGTATATTATTTAACGCTTAATTTGTTAACTCAAGGAAGGACGGCGTAGAAAGCTGTTCGTGATAGCGTAAAAGTTTTTTTTAAAAGGAAAGAAGAAATTGTCCAATAGCTTCCTCCTCTTTTTTAATTTATAATTTCATGGTAATCACAACTGAAAAAAGTTATTCGTTATCACATAAAATATGTTATAAAAGATGTAAAAAAAAAGGGGACAAGGTTACAATCTTAATCTCCAAAGAGAACATTAAATCTATCCCTGGTTACTATTCAGGCTTTAACTAAGCTATTGCTTTCAGATAACCATGACTAAAGTTGTCCGAAATGGCTTAAAAAGTGTCTCTGTAAGAAAGAAGTGACTTGCGTCAGTTTGCAAACTGCCTCGCATACTATTAAATGTTGCAAAGAAAGGAAGAAACCAACCAGCAATTTCCAAAAATAAGGGGGCAAATTTTAAGTATGCAAATCATACTAATGTGCTTCAAGGTATTGCGTCATAGAAATTTACAAAAAAATTTATTTCATGAATTCAATTAAAATTAACAAGTGAATCTGCAAATTGTGATCTTGCA